AAAAAATCCCAGTTTAAAGACGATGCATATCCATGCATATTTAAACGGCTGTCCAATATATATGATGGAAAACTCATCGACAATCAGGAGAAGCAGAATGGAAAAAAATGGGAAAAAGAGAAAGAAATATTAACCTTTTCATGGAAAATGACAAAATTAATGGATTTGATAAATTACTAATAAATGTTGACATCAAATTAGAGAAACTGTGAACAAAATACGAAATTCTTACATAAAAATTCTGATGAACTGTTTGTAGTTTTTAGTTTTGTCCATCACCATGCATTAAGAAATGCTTGGTTTAATCCTAGTATATGGTACACTCAGGATTTGGCGACATTACATTACAAATGTTTTTGCTAGCCCAACAAACATTTTTTGTAAATTATCCCGCCTAACAAAGAACCTCATATAAATGCCCTGTTCAAACCCCACACTTATATAAACTTCGAGGCTATTGACTAGCTGCCATTTTAAAATGAGAATCTTAGGGAATATTTTCTCAAGTTTTCTAATTCACTGCGGAATTAGAATTACAGTAATTGTGTCATAATGTTGTTACATACTAGTGGCTTGATGATTCCTACCTTCTTGAGAGGCAGTACTATGTATACCCAATTTGGATGACTGCAAGGTGTCACTGACTACTAGGGCTTAGGGTGTGATTTCCTCTCTGAAAGTTCCAGGAGCTGCACTTCCACAAGACTATCAACACTAAAGCTGAAATCATCATGTGTCCACCAGCCACAAGAGGTGACCAGATAATAATAAATAAAACTGTTGTAACTTATGTTAATTAATACACTAGTAAAATATCCATTTCAAAGAGTGTACTTTCTATAAATTCTATAGTTTTAAATAGGAGACTATGAAGTAATTTCATTTCATGAGCTGTTTTAACTTCCAGTAATCTCTTACCTCATTTTTGTTTTGATCATTTTAGCACCTTTCCTCATGTTTAGTATTTAAAGGATTCTACAAATGAAACAGATAAAAATAAAACAAGCAAAGACAATTGATATGCTGTGAGAAATAATAACACAAAATACAGTACAGTACAAGGTGGAAAGAACAGAATCCATTTCAAGAATAACTAAAATATTTTAAGCTACTAAAACTAAAATCTGAATTTTTAAATTGTTCACTGTTTATAGAACTGGAAATATTTTACTCTTCTCTAAAGAATATGTTTATCAAAAGTCGTTAATCCGACTCATCGGGACTTCGGCGATTCCGGATTATAGATCATCTGTTTAAATCTCGTAAGATGGCATGCAGAAATTCTAAAATTAAAATATGAAACCATAATTATGAAATAAAGAACAATTATGATCTAAAGGTATCAAAATTTACAAAAAAAAAAAAAAAAAAAAAAAGCTTATATTTATTTGTTTACTTTATTAAACATTTCTTTCAATGTAAGTGTTTAAGTTGCTTAGTTTTATGTGTTAATACTTTCTCTTTAATTCTAAAAACAGACAGAATTTCTTGTTCATTACACAGTTCCGCTGTTCAAGTCCGTAATTGTTGTGCCGAGAATACTGACTAACTTTCAATCAAAATTTTTCGTTTCACTAACCTCTGTCACTTCTTCAGTCTTATCCATTTTGCAGCAATTCACTTTTTGTTTGATGGACATCGAAACTACTTTCGTTTTGTAGATTTTTGGGAAGTTCCAGCATCGGAAATTCTATTTGACATAATCGAAAGTTCAAGTTTACTTTATAAAATTCCTCTTATGTCTGCAAAAATAATAAGCCGATCCAATTCGAAGATTAAGGACAACGCAATCATCAACATTAACTGAAATAGATAATTTTAGCTTATACCGTCCGTTATACATTAAACGCACAGGCGAAAACGTATTCTGCGCTTGCGCACACGCAACATGCGCAGTGGTAAAGGTCTTACACGAACTCGTAAAACGCCTGTGCGATGTGTCAACGCGGCGCATGCACAGAAAGTTTTTAGCTTTGAGGTCCGGATTTTAGATCATTCCGGATATGGGGGTCCGAATTAACGACTTTTGACTGTACATTATATTCAAACATTTTAAAGCAACTGAATATTCAAAAACTACTTTCACTGTTAAGTTGCGCGCCTCCAACTTGCACGCAACCAAGGGTGACTGTGAAAGCTTGTATAAACCACAGAGTCTTATAAAGGGTTTAGTCCCTTTTTATTCAACGTAATAAATTACAATTGCGTTCTCTTGACGCTACAGACGGTGCCAACTTGGCAGTCAAATAAAAATAATAACCTGAAAAGGAAGTAAAGACAAGATTCTAACTACGAGGCTCTCTAAAAATAACTAACTCACCGCGTTTTACAATTACCGCTGCTAATTCAGCAGACTTGAAGCTCACTGGAACGATGACCACTACTCCCGCCAAGCACATAGGCCGAAGCGGGGTTCTTCAATTCTCGCTAACTACCTCCGCGCTCGTGAAGTAAGAAATCACACACCGAACTTGTTTCCTTCCTATTTAAATCAGAATACTTCCGCTGATAATTTGATGCTTGCGCGTTCTACTCAAATTTACATATTCTGGCAATTGGCAGTTCCAGGGGAAAGTAAGGCTTGACAGGAAAGATAGTTTAAACTTAAAATAAATGTTAGTTAAAATAAATATAAACCCTACAACTGTACAATTAAATTAACATTGTGCATTTAGATAATGGTCAAATTCAAAATGCAGGATGCCTTATGTATGTTTGTAATAAATCATGAAGTTTGGATGTAGTGGATTAAAATTATCTCATTCAGCTCTCTATAAAAAGCCAATCACACTCTTTATTGTAATATTTAAAAGAACAGCTCCAAATGCATTAGTTATTTGTGATCATTGTTGTTCAACTGTGGCTGATATTCCTACCTTCAGAAGTACATGTACAATATAAAGGTGACTAGGTGTATTTTACAGTGCAATATACATACTTATACACAGCATAACAGTACATAATATAACAGTTGCATTTAAAATACAGAAAATCCATTTCAAAGCAGATTTTACTATAGTTAAATAAGATCATTCAACATGGATTAACTAATACCTCATTTTTGGATCATTCTTTTCGTTTAAACCTAAATACCATTATCTTTAATTCTATTTAATCCTAAACCTTCCACATATTTTGTAAAATATCTGTACTTCTGTCATACCAAAACTGTAGAAGTGACGATGTTTTGACACTTTTCTTGCAAAATGGACCACAGCCACATAACAGATGCTATGTACAACAGATTTTGTATCAACTTCCACTAAATAATTCATTTCTAAACTCCCAGTAACTACTTCGTTGGATTTCAATCTGCATGAATTTTAATTAAAAAAAGCGTGCTTTGGAAAGGACAGGTTGCAAATTTAGCAGACATAAAGGATAGCATCATACAACACTGGAAAAGTATCACACAGAATATGCTATAGTCAGCTGTAACTTAACTACTAAACATTTCAGATTTCACTCTAACAATGACAAATTCAGCAATGTCTCCCATATCAAATGTCTCTACAGCATCTTGGGCTTACATGATAAGAATAAATATTGTTACAAATTTTGTGCATATATAAATAGTTTTAGCAAAATTATACACAAAATTGCAGTATCTCTTGCATAACGTAAGATGAATTTCGATACTCCACTGGAAAAATAACTTTACAAGGGTAGGTTCATTTTACATTCAGGTAAATGGCTATCTTCCGAAAATGGTAAGATGGCGCTAAATGGCAAGAAAACGCCAAACTTGGCGACCACTTGGTTACATTTTGTCTCATCCCTATATCTAACTGTAACCATATCCAGTCATGTGTAACTGTAACTGTATATGCCTTCCATTAATTTTGAGAAATCGATGGTCAGTTTTCAGTGTTTAATTCAGAATTATGTTTGGAGTACTGAGAGATCTTATGAGTTTCACTCTTTTACATGCACTTTACACTGCATTGTGTTTTTATAAGTAGTTTGAATTAGTAACTGCTGATTGTGCTCTGTCATACTGGGAACAGCTGCATGAGTACTTTTGTGAAAAGTTCCAGAAGTGTAAAGTGTTTTTCTTGGGAAAATAAATTGTATCAAGCTATCATCAGTTCTGCGTGCATTCAATTTATTATGACCATTAACACATATTTTGTAATTAAGACATAATAACATGCCGAATAAATACTAATTCAGAAGTCAAACAACAAAAATCAGCGTTATATTTTCAAAATTTTCACAGGACTAGTTTCGATGGTTTTACCAAACCACCATCCTCAGCTGCAAAACCGCAAATGGATTTACCGCAAAATGTGGTTTTGCAGCTGAGATGGTGGTTTGGTAAAACCATCGAAACTAGTCCTGTGAAAATTTTGAAAATATAACGCTGATTTTTTTTTTTTTGTGTGTGACTTCTGAATTACATATTTTGTAGTGAGAAATATATGTTTCTGTGTTTCTCCCATTTAACATAACTTATGAAGCCTCAAATTTTTCTAAAGAATTTGCAAACAGCCCTCCCCATATCTTTCATCAAATTCTCTGTGTTGTCTTTGGAATATACAGGTATGAATTTTGATGTCAATCAAGTTACTAATGAGAGCTACAGAGAATTTAGAACAAGATAACTTTAAACATGAACAAGGTAATTTAACACCTTGTATGTATCTACTTTCTACTATTTCTTATTAAAAAAATATCTGGAAAAATCCAATCAAAATTATTAGTGTATTAATTAATTATTTTCAATAAAAAAGCAAGATGCCAAAAACAATGATAGAAATTTCTAAGTTAATAAAGTATTAGCAGAAGTTAACATTTCTTCATAGTAATTTTTTTTTAAAGTGAAGAACTGCAACTGAACTTAATTATTATATTCCAAGTCAATTTGGATGAAAAATATAGATTGCTTTATTACAAATAATAGCATTTAAACCTGCAAAGTTACAATAAAAGATCATAACAACATGATTTTAAATTGAAATATTTTCATTCATCAAAAATATATACGTGAAAAAATTTACTTCAATCGGATTTGAGCTCTTTATTTTTTCAGCCAGTTCTGTAAATGTACGAGAAGAAAATGGGGCATGGCCAAAAAGACATTCTAAAATAAAACAAATTTTAGTTTGTTGAAGTTTATTAAATTTTTTAAAAATAAAATATTAAAAAGTATTTTTATTTTTATCACAAATAACTTAAGTAAATTAGCAAATGATTAATTTATATTTAAGCAAAGAAAATTAAAATTTTGTATTACTGAAAGTTATTTTAAAAATTCAAAATGCTTTAAAATGTCGATTTTATAGAATTTTCTGTATAGTTAACTGCAGTTCAAATTTATTAAAAATTCGCTTTTCATAATTTGAATTAAGTTGACTACAATTTATAAATAATCTGAAAAGTGATATTTTTTAATATGAAATTTAACATTTCACATGAAAGCAAACTATTGTGCCTATATTTCTAGTTCTTGTACCTACAATATTAATTTATCAGGTTTCAAATTTTCATCTAATCATGTCGTTAATGATAAGTTGAAAATTAGTAAAGCTTAGTTCTAACTCACCATCTACTGCAGCAATTTTGTAACATTAATGCAAGCAATTTGCTACAGAGAAAAATAGTAAAAATATGCATTAACTGGATATAAAAATATTGCATAGCGAGATTCAAGTCATGCAGCAAAAATTCAATCATTTTATTATTTTATCAATCATATTTTATTAATCATTCAATCATTTTATTACTACGAATTTTATTTTTAAAAAATAAATCCCATACATAAATATTTATTAAAACTGCAAGTTTAATGATTCTATTAAACATATAATACAAAATTGCTTTCTAATAGAAAAAAAGTAAATTAAATGATTTCAAACAGATTGCAATATACTTTTATTATTGCATCCAAGTAAAGTTATAGGCTGAACATATCCATGTGTTCTATTTCCATTTTACAAACGATTCCTAACAATTTTTAATGGATTTTTGATAACTAAAATGTATAAACAATATTTTTACAAAAATATTCCAACAATAATTTTAAAATATACAGGAACAAGATGATGATGTATGTGGTACAAGGGGTCTTAAATTGAATTTCTATTTTGAGAAAATCCATATTACAAAAATGTTTTAAACGCTTTAAACAAATGTGATAAAGCACTGATTACTCGAACTTCCATGAGTCAAACCTTTTTTATACGTTAAGCTGAATGTCAAAATGTAGGATTCAAAATTAATATTAAATTTTTTTTGATAAGTTGAATTTTCAATTTGTTTTGGTCATGCGTTGTATTTTATATGTGTTGGGTACGTGCTCAGTGATGATTACAAGATGCACACAAACACTGTTTATTCTACATTGCTCATCTGCTATTCTATATTACAGTTATGATTAATAATAATAATAGATACAGTTACATATATAACATCTCCTTTTTTATAAAAATAATAATAGTAAACTTAAACATAGTCTTTAATAATAAGGTTTAAACAGTCCTACCAGATCGAGGGACGTAGTTATGTCCATTTGAAAATTGATGATACTATACCTCTTTCACTATTTGGTGACCAACCTTCTGTTAGATTTTAACGGACTTCCAGGCCCTAAATTGTAGTGCTCTTGCTATTCTCAGGTATCTCGGGTTATCTATAACTATTCTCATAGTTGTTTGATTGCAAACTCTCCTGATTAGTTCCTTTAAGGTCTCTTCTGTTCCTTTCTCCCCTTCTTCCATCTGTTCTTATAATTCTATATGAACGTGGTTTTTCGTTCTTCCAATTTTCGCTCTTTCCTTTAGTTTTTTCCCTTTCTCTTTTGTAAACATGATCTCCGTTTCCAGTGGTTTAACAGTCTGACATCTCTTAATAACTTTTTTGTAGTTTGTCTTTCATAAATGTTGTTTTGGTTCATATGTTTAGCTTGGACGAAATTCTATTTATAGGCCTCAATCCATTTACTTTTTTCTCCAAACATCAATCTGAAGGTGACTTAATTTATCTTCCCTAGGAGAGTTAGAATTCAGTATCCTAAATTGGATCCTTGTTGTCACTATAGCTTTTTCTAACATTTGCTTGACAGTTTGAATATGTCTTTCCCCCCTTCATTATGTGGTATTTGGACTGAGTTTGGTTTCAAAATTCCATCTTTTGCAAAATCTTTATATTTTTGCAATTATATTGTCCCCTTATCCGAATATACTTTTGGACCTGTCTTGCATTGAATTTCATGGCTTATCCCTGCTACATTGACAAATCTTCCAATGTCCAATTTCAACATATTTGCTAAAATAATCTATTACTATAGATAATCCCTTCCTGAAAGTAAAGAGGTCTGTTCCCATACTTCCATGGCCATTAGGTTTTCTTAGATATCATTGGTTCTTTAGTATTAGCTTTTGTAACTTAAACATGTTGACAATTCAGTACCAAATCTTCAATTCTTTCGACATTCCTGGCCAATATATATTTCTCTTGCTTTGATCTTGCATTTACTACTCCTAAATAACCAAATGAATTCTGCTAAAATAATATCTTTTCGTAAAACTTCTTGGTACAACACACAGGAATTTTTAAATATTAATCCATTTGCTTCTGATAGTTCTCCTCTGAAGTTAAAATATGGTTTTGCCAGTTCTGGAAACATACATTTTTCATCTGGCCATCCAGTTTTAATTAATTTTCTAAAATTGTAGTTCTTCATCTTTTTCTGTTTCCAGTTGAAAAACTTCCATTTTACCATTAGACATTGGTTACATTCTACAACCAGTCACACAGAGCTCTATATCTCCTTCAAAGAAATCAGATCCTTTATCAGTGAATGATCTTATAATGCATCCGATTAAAAAGTTCTTTCCTGGTTTATATTTTTCTCAAACTGATATGCTGTAATCTTATACGTATTCTTGTAGTCTTACAGGGATTTATTTAATGGCTTTTTGAAAATTGATTCAGTGGTTTATGATCACTTTCCACAGTAATATTTTTTCCAAATATATACTGGTGAAATTCTCACGCAAATACAATAGCTAAAGTTTCCCTTTCAATTTGAGCATAATTCTTCTGTGATCTGTTAATGCCTTAGATGCATATGCTACTGGTAAATTTTCTGCAGTAAGACTGCTCTAGTCCTTTTGAGGCATCTACAGATAAAACTACTGGCATCTTTATATCATATAATGTAAAACTGGTTATTTATTAAGACATTTTTAGTCTTCTAAATGCTTTTTCATGTGTTGATTCCAGGTCCAGATAACTGTTTTTTCAACAAATCTCTTAAAACATGATGTCAATTCTGAGACATTAGGTATAAATCTAGAAACATAGGTAATCATTCTAGGAAAGTTTCTAATTCTTTTTACATTTTTGGTGGTTTTTATCTAGAATGCCTTAATTTTGTCTTCATTGGTTTTAAACCAGCTTTAGAATAATATGTCATATATTTCACTTCATTCAGCCAAATTTACATGTATTTAAATTAAAAATTTAATTCTTTTCTTGGCTCTGTCAACAACTTCTTTAATCTTGAATCATGTTCTTTTTATCTTTACCCCCAACTATAAGTCATCTTATATATATTGAACTCCTTCTAAATCACTAAAAATTCAGAAAAAAACTTCTGTGGAGAACTTCTGGTGATTAACTCAGTCCATATGGCAACCTCAAGAAACAATATCTACCAAACGGAGCGTTAAATGTAGTAAATTCACACTTGAATCTGACAGTTTAATTTGCAAAATGCTTTGTTTGCATCTAAAATACTAAGACCTTGCATTTGTCATTTGAAATGAATTTCTTCAAAGGTGGTATGTGATAATGTTCTCTCAGTATATTTTGGTTAAGGTGCTGATGATCTAAACGATTAAATTTCCATCCTTTTCCTTACACCACTAATGAATTCCCAAATTCTGTTGGGGGTAACTTCTTATAATACATCTTTTTCCTTTTGCTAATTCCTTTTTAATGGATTTAATAAGCTAAGTGGAATTTCCTACAGGGCTCTATTTTACTACATCATGGTTTTAATTTAATATGAATGTATATCCAGTAAATTCCCAGTTCCTTTAACAACTTGATATCCTTTTAAAGATTCTGGTAACTTTTCAATGGAATCAGGATTTACTGTACAAACTTTGTATTGGGTTTAATTTTTGCAATGAGGTAAACCTAAAATAGCTGGACAGTTTTGTCACATGCTACGACTGAAATTCTATTCATCCTTGTTCCCTTCGATGTTTCACATAATAATTTAAATAATTTACATTTTCCAACTACATCAATTGTAGTACATTGTAATTAATTAAGTGACTTTTGATTTAGTCAAACATTTCTCTCTAAATTTAATTGTTTAAATTTAGGCGGCAATGGTAGCACATTACACTGAGCTCCATTATTCAACTTAACAAATAAATATTTAGATATGTTTACTTTTAGTTTTTCAAACCATTCAGTTTTATTTTTATAAAATGGATTTGTATCTTCTACTGACCCTAAAATATATTCATTATTATTATTATGTAACTCATGCTCTAAACTATTCTGTACATTAACATTTTTATAAGTGCACATTTTAGAAAAGTGATTCAGAGTTCTTTAAAAACTATCCTAAATCATTCCAGAAAGAAATAATTAAATACTCTAAATTAAACACATGATTAGCATTTGAATAAAATTATTTCAGTGTTTTAAATTTTAATTTCTTTTTTTAAATTATGAACATGATATATTTATCCATTTAAAAATTTATAATTTGAATATATGGACAATGTAATCTGTCCATCATCTGTAAATCCAAATTCATAATAAACTAAGTAGTTAAAAAATACTAAATTTACCGTATAATATGATTCCCACAGACCATAAATCAACTCTAGCATCATAATGATGCTTCAGAAGTATCTCAGGAGCCATATATAATGGGGATCCACGAAAAGAGGTCCCTTCAGCATCAGAATGAAGATACTGAGCAAGCCCAAAATCTGAAACAACATAAAAACATAATCAACAGTTTAATACTTCTACTAATGTTTCAAAAACAAAACATGTAATAATAAGAATAAATGTAACAATAATTGAGAATAGATATAAAAAATTCAAATAATCTTTGCATATTTGAACAAATACAATAAAAGGTAAAAAAAAACTAGTAGGTACCAAACCTAACTGGAGGGGAGGTTAACCCTCTGGGCAGCGAGGGTTTTTGTTAAGAAAGCACAAATTTCCCAAAACTACTATGAGAATAAATAATTTTTTTGATTTTAATGCAAAAACTCTCCTGGTATTTCATACCTGGATTTGTTTTCCTTTGATATATTGCCTTAATTTCATTGACATATTTTATTATGCACGTATATATACAGTCAAAAGTTGTTAATTCGGACACCCATAATCTGGAATGATCTATAATCTGGACCTCAAAGCTACAAACTTTCTGCGCATGCATCTCGTTGACGCATGCGCGTAAGACCTTTACGGCTGAGAATGTGTGTGTGTGCATGCCCATAATACGTTTACGCATGCACATTTAATGTATAATGCACGGTATAAGCTAAAATTATCTAATTATCTATTTCAGTTAATGTTGCAGATTGCGTTGTTCCTTAATCTTTGAATTGGATCCGGCTTATTATTTTTTGCAGACTGTTAGAGTAATGTTATAAAGTAAGCTTGAACTTTCGATTATGTCAAATAGAACTTCTGATGCTGGAGCTCCCAAAGGATCTACAAAGCGAAAGTCCATCAATGGTCGCGAAAGTCAACCATTGATGTCCATCAAACAAAAAGTAGAATTGCTGCAAAAAATGCATAAAGCCATATCCTTTGTTTCTCTAACCATTCTGAAATCTGTTTATCAATTTCATGCTGCTCAGCGTCTGGGGTGGGGGGGAACGCCGCGGTGCGCAATGAATTGGAAGTTGATCTGTCAGCACCATCTTTATCTTCAGGGCACATGTTTTTTATTTTATTTGGCTTATAATTCCTTACTAAATGCAGTATTTCATCTCAATGTACTCTGTCTTTGATATGATTTAAATCAAATTCCTCGTCATTATAATTCGCTTCCGATAGTGAAGAAAGTAACACAGAGGTTATTGAAAATGAAAAAATTTCGATTGACAAATTAGTCGGTATTCTCAACACAGCAATTATAGGACTTGAACAGCGGAACTTTGTAACTGAACAAGAAATTATGTCTGTTTATAGAATTAAAGAGAAAGTATTATCACATAAAACGAAGCAACTTAAACAATTACATTAAAAGAAATGTTTAATAAAGTAAACAAATAAATATTAAGCTTTTTTTTGGTAAATTTTGATACCCTTTAGATCCATAATTGTTCTTTATTTCATAAATTACGGTTTCATATTTTTAATTTTATAATTTCTGCATGCCATCTTGTCAGATTTAAAATGATGATCTATAATCCGGAAAAATCGATAACCTGTAATCGCCGAAGTCCCGACGAGTCTGGATTAACGACTTTTAACTGTATACGTTCTTACAGATATCAGATATCACAATAAATATTCTAGGCAGTATACATACGGCCTTGCCGCTTAGAGGGTTAAGTAAATAAAACTGCAACCCAAAAAAAAAAAAAAAAAAGATGTTAGTAAAAGAGTTATGCACTTGCAACACATCTTGCTCCCTGTAAAAGAGAAGCTACCACATGTCTAGACACAATGACAGCAACTTCTCGGGACTATATGTATATGTGTGTATGTAAACAAGAATAATTAAATACACACATGCACATACTATTATGATAATACTGCCAAAATTGATGGCAGGTTCATAATGGAAAAGTATAAAAAAAAAAGTATTTTTAACATAAGTTTTAAAATAAACATTAGTTTAAAGTAAAAAATGGTACTTAACGTATTATCCTGTCAACAATGAAACTACTGCTAAACAGTGCAATTTAGTGTCAGTTATGGATAATTCTAATGTGACAACACACTCATAATATCTGAAATTTTATTTGATATAACCCCAAATGATTCTTGATAAGCTACATTTTGGTTTTATGAAGAAGAATATAAATTAACTGTTATTGCTGTTTTTTTTTTTTTTTTTTGTTTTTTTGTTTTTTTTTTTTCATTTTGAAAAAAATGGTTAAAATTGGGACCTGCCTGCTATGGAACAGTAAGCAATGGTTTATTTACAAAGTCATAAAATTCCACCATAAAAAAAATGTATATTAATAGGCACAGTATGGTCAACTGAATATAGCTGATAAAACAGTAATAAGCTGGAAAAACTGCCTCTGAAAGTTTGTACTTGTAGCATTTTAAACAGAGCTTCAGGTAAAATCCGAGGGCTTAATAAAATAATAGAAATCCATAAAAGCTTTTTTATGAAGGACAAAAGCAAAGCATGTCGAATACTGACTGTTTATAAAATAAAAAGTTATCAGTTCCTTCAAAATTCTCTTGAAATAATTGGTGCAACTTTGGTGGATTTTCTGCCAACTTTCATGGTTCGATGACAGTGAAACTTCACGGTCAATGGGATAATAAGTAAGTACCAAAATTCATATTTAACATTTGAAAAGCATACAAAAAAATCCAATTAAAAAGATTTACATGAATTAGGTAATGTAGTAAAATAAATAAAAAATATTTCATAATGTCAGTTTTTTACTGTTTTACAATATTTTTAGACTTGTATTTTGTCAATGATTTTAAATCTTACTTACTGTACAAAAAAGACGTGAAACCATCAGGAAATTAAAACAAAATACTAAAAAATGCAGTATAAATTTGGAGAAGTTTAAACTCACATAAACATATTTGTCATATTTGAAGAATTAATTATATGATTTATTCCTTCATTTATTGTCAAAATAAGTTTTGACATTTTAAGACAGTTTGCTATATGTTCCAAAATTGATACAATGAGTACAAGTGCAAGAAAAACAAATGCAACTGGATTTTAATTGAAAAAAAAATCTGCATCCGATTTGATACATTGTACAATAGTTAAAATCAAAACCAAAAATTATTGTTTAATTAATTATTTCAAGGAATTTGAACTTTATTCTGCCTAGACAGTTATAAACATAGAGGAACTTTTTAAAGGAAAGCAATTTATTTTCTTATTACATATGAGAAAAAAATCATGCAGCCAGAAAGTAAGCCCACAGTGAAATAACAGGATCCTTTGAAGAAAGCTATAAATTAAAGAAAACTAATAAATAATGATACTTTAATTTAAAATAGGAATACTTTTTAAATTTATTTTTGTTCATTTTGAGAATAAAATTTTACCTTCAGAGTTAAGGCTTAGAGTTTATATTTTAAATTCAAAATGCATTTCCATAAACGATCAAAGGAAAAAAACTCACCACCGAGTTTAAGTACTGGATTCGATGTACTACTTAATAAAATATTTTGAGGCTTTAAATCCATATGAGAAATATTATGAGAACGTAGAACTTGAAGTGCTCTTGCTATAAGAGAAATATCATAATATATATAAACATGCTAAACAAAATTCATAGCAACAAATGCATGCAAATGATGAAATATATATATATATTTTTCATTTTTAGAATTACACAGATTTCAGTGTTTCTAACTATGTATTCTAGACATTACATAAGCAAATAATTATATATTATTTTATAATGTGAATACAACAGAGTCTGTCGCAAATAATACTGGTTATCACTTAAGTGAAAGCTTCTGTGCAACTGGAAAGATACTGATGTAGGATTAAAAAAGATCCAAGTTCCATCCAATATATATAGTACACTGATGAGCCAAAACATTATGACAATCCCCATATTTTCAATGAACTCATCTGGATGATGTGGAGGGCACCTGATTAAGTGAAAATGGTATTTAACTGCTGCTAGTGAAAGTAAAAAATCATTCTTTCACTTACTTTTGGAAGTGATGGGTAAAGCTGCTGATCTAAGCGATTCTGACAGAAGGCAGATTGCAATGACATGCACATGTGGAACAAGCCATCTCTGAAAGAGAATGACAGGTTGATTATTATGATCTGTCATTGTTAGTATTTATGAATAAATTCGTGAATAAATGATGGTGAAATCAGACGTAGAGGCCAAGGTGTTGGATGTCCGTATGTCATAAAAAAAGGACATCAAAGATTGTCCCATTTGCTACAACAAAACTGATGCTGGCTCTGGGACCCTTAGTTATGGTAGAACAGACCATGAAATCTACAGAGTATCTTAACATATAATGTAGATCAGTTGCACCCTTACATGGCGTGCGTCTTCCCAACTGGAAATGGAAACTTCCAGCAGGACATTGCCCCATGTCACAAGGCTCGAATTGTGTTAAAGCGATTCAAGGAGCGTAAGGATGAATTTCAATTAATTTCCTGGCCATCTAACTCACCAGATCTTAACCCAATAGGGGATGGGATGGACCATTTGGGATGTCATAGAGCAGCAGCTCAAAGTTCAAATTTCACTAAGTTAGAATATCTCAACTGTGCATGATAACTGCTTGGGCATTAGGTACAACCTGTCTCCAATTACTACCAAAAACTTGTGGCACCCATGCCAAGGTGAGTTGCAGATGTTTTGCAAGCCAAAGGCTGCACAACCTGTTACCGAGTAGGTGGTCATAATGTTTTGGCTCTTCAATGTTTGTATGATTTGTATATATATATATATAGATAGAGAGAGAGAGAGAGAGAAAAGAGAGATAGTATATGTCTATAACAGTACTATCATTTTACAAAATTCATAAAATAATAAAAATAACACATTCATTACCCAGTTGTTGGAGAAAACGGTGTGCAACAGATTCTGGTAACCGTTTCTTAGATCGAATAAAACGAGATAAATCACCTCCACTGCAATATTCCAGAATTAGATATATATAAGTGCTATCCCACTGAAAAGGAAAATAAAGGTAAATAAATACATTCATGCTATATAAGCACTGATCATCAGAATAGTGGACTCAAACTGAATGCAGACTGAATGCACAATCTAAAGGCAGCTAATGAACCTTTCTTTTTTTAAAACCAAAATGAAAACACTTATAACAAAATTTTAAATTTTAATTACTAATTATTTATCCAAACACATATGTAAACAGTAATAATTATGATGCAAAGGGAAAAAATTCAAATTTCTGTTTATTTCTGTCCAAAATTTCTGTTGATTCAATTGGTTGTAATTCAAATATTGGCAGCTAAATATTAAATTTTCAGAATGACATTTATTTCAAATAATTCTCAATATTTTTTACTCATGCAACCCTTTCACATCATTGATAGATGATCCCCACCCACACACACACACTTTCCAAAACTAGAAAAAGAATCATACACATTTGTTTAAATTTCAATTATTTTTTTAATGTATTTTATAAAATAAACAAGAAAAATATATAGAAAATGTTGATAAATACCAAAACTTCAATAAAAGTAGTTTTTTTAAACTCATAAACTAAAATGAAATACTTAACAGGTAAAGAAAAGGCTGACTTCATTCCCTCCCTGAAACTACGGAATTTCTCCTTGGTTGAGAATCCCTTTTCTAATGCACTGAATCAGCCACTAAATAACTTACTTTAAAAAAATCTTTCCAAAAGGAACAAAAATTGAGACTAAATAATGGCAACATGTTATCCTTTTCCTTTATTTACTATTTTATTTTACTATATTATTTTACTATTTTATTATACTGACAAAAAACATATATTTGTGTGTAAATAATTATAAACTTCCTTTTTTATTACAATTTTTGGCTACAACATTTCAGTGCATTTCAATGTAATAATGCTTGTAAACTTGGAGAAAAATTATACTTTTTTATAAATTGTACACGTTCATTGGTCAGTTTGGTTCTTTATTATACTTATTCATTTTCAACTGTGGGAAAAAACTGTTCATATAAAATATATTCCCAATAAGCAATTATTCTTATTGCAAAAATTTTTTCTTGGAAAAAAATCACACTTTTCCTTCAACTTTTATTTATTATTTTTATTTTTACTTATTTATTTTTTATTTTATTTATTTATTTATTTTTAACCACGGCTTGCCATTGTGTACTCATTCAAAGACCATCAACGCTTCTGAATTTTAGAATGTGGAATGAGTGTGAGTAAGCTAGCTTAAAATTAATGATCACCGTTCCCTTTGACAACTAATTGTAACATTAGGAGAAATACAATTCTGTTAACTTATTCCCCTTCCCCTCTAAAGTAGCAGCATGCTCAAGGTAACCTTTGGCGAAATATTGACGAAAGAGTGACATCTGTTGCAAGCCAGTTCGAGACAAGAATCTACCCTTTTATGGTATTAAGATTTTATGCATAGTCAAATTTTTTATTTTTAAAATTATATAAGATAAAGTGAAATTTTTGAAAAATTCATCATTTTCAGGAAATTGTCTAAATAATATCAGGCATGTCAATAAAATGTTTTAAATATCAAGCGTAAGACAAATAAAAAGGTTTTTTTTATGACAAAAAGCTGACAAGGCAATTTTTTTTTCAAATGCTAATGTTGGGCCACTAAAATGCCTTCAGTGGGCCACGGGCTGAAGACCCCTATTTTAGATGTATAATCTTTAAAAACCTTATGAATTAAAAAGCAGTTGTACTATGTAATGCTATTACCTTGTGCTATCTGTAAATTCATCAAATTAGAAGAAAAAGCATGAACATCTGTTAATATTGTTATATAACTGTTCTCTTATATTTTAACTCTTTTTTTTTAATCCATCAGATCACAGTACTTTGAGACAATTGTAGATCATTTATTGCAGCAATAATTTCAGTCTTGTTCCTAAAATCATTAAAAAATATATCTGACATTTCCAAGAAACTGTCTTTTATAAATTCCCCCATCAGAAAATGAGGTATTTATTTATTTATTATAAAATATGGCTTACTCTGAATGATATATAGATACCTGCACATAATTTCAGCATGGTTTTTTTTTTTTAAGATATTTTGTTCAGCTCTTTCTTAATTGAGTCTTAAGATCTAATTTTATTTTTCCTTAAGTTTTAGTACAAAATCTGTTTGAAATTTCTTATGTAAAATTAAAAGTCTTCTCTCCAAATTATCCTTTTTAGTAAATAACTATTACAGGGGTATTTCATATTAACCTTCTAACACCAGGCCAGAATTCTCATAATACAGCCTTCAAACTGGCATGATTCAAAACACTTTTTTCCCTCTCCTTGACTTTTCCCTAATGAGAAAAGTCGTTAGAGTGTCATTTGGGTAAAATCCTAGTACAATCAAAAGTCTTTAATCTGGATGTCCATAATCCCGACCTCAAAGGTAGAAACTTTCTGCACATGCGTCAACGCATAATGGGTTAACGCATGCACATAATAACTTTATGCATGCGCATATGCATCTACGCATGGGCATAATGCATTTATGCATGCGCATAATGCGTTTACGCATGCGCGTTTAATGTATAATGGATGGTATAAGCTAAGCTAAAATTATCTAATTATCTATTTCAGTTAATGTTGCAGATTGCGTTGCTCCTTAAAATGTTTATCTTTTGACAAATAGATAAAAAAAAATTTGTAATCAAATCTGTATCTTCAAATTTCTGTTTATTTCTGTCCGAAATTTCTATTGATTCTGTCGGTTGTAATTCAAATATTGGCAGCTAAATATTAAATTTTCAGAATGGCATTTATTTGAAATAATTCTCAATACTTTTTTTACCCATGCAACCCTTTCACATCATTGCTAGATGACCATTGCTTTCACACCACTGCTACACATTCTTGGCCTTTCAATAAGTTTTGCAGAAATTAATTAGGAGCACTTGTAAGTTTTCTAGGGTGTTACTCACATTGGTTTTTAATGGTAATAAAAATACAGTCAAAAGTCATTAATCCGCACTTGTTGGGACTTCAGGCGATTCCGGATTATGAATTTTTCCAGATTATAGATCATCATATTAAATCTGGTAAGATGGCATGCAGAAATTATAAAATTAAAAATATGAAACCGTAATTCATGAAATAAAGAACAATTATGATCTAAAGGGTATCAAAATTTACAAAAAAAAACTTAATATTTATTTGTTTACTTTATTAAACATTTCTTTCACTGTAAGTTGTTTAAGTTGCTTCGTTTTATGTGATAATACTTTCTCCTTAATTCTATAAACAGGCATAATTTCTTGTTCAGTTACAAAGTTCTGCTGTTCAAGTCCTATAATTGCTGTGTCGAGAATACCGACTAATTTGTCAATCAAAATTTTTTCATTTTCAATAACCTCTGTGTCACTTTCTTCACTATCGGAAGCGAATTATAACGACGAGGAATTTGATTTAAATCATATTAAAGACGGAGTACATCGAGATGAAATACTACATTTAGTAAGGAATTATAAACCTAATAAAATAAAAACTTGTGTGCCCTGAAGATAAGGATAGTGCTGACAGATCAACTTCCAGTTCATTGTGTGCCACGATGTCCCCCCCCCCCGCCGCAGAGCAGCGTGAAATTCATAAACTGATTTCAGAATGGTTAGAGAAACAAAGGATATACCTTCATCCATTTTTTTGCAGCAATTCCACTTTTTGTTTTATGGACTTCGAAACATACTTTCGCTTTGTAGATCCTTTACATATTAGTAAATGTATATCAAGAATTCTATTTGACATAATCGAAAGTTCAAGCTTACTTTTATAAAATTGCTCTAACAGTCTTCAAAAAATAATAAGTCGGATCCAATTCGAAGCTTAAGGAACAACAAATCTGCAACATTAACTGAATTAGATAATTTTAGCTTAGCTTATACCCTCTGTTATACATGAAACGGGCATGCGTAAACATATTATGCGCATGTGCACACACATATTCGCAGCCGTAAAGGTCTTACGCGCATGCTTAAATGCCTATGCGCATTCATCAATGCTACGCATGCGCAGAAAGTTTGTAGCTTTGAGGTCCGGATTATAGATCATTCCGGATTATGGGTGTCCGAATTAACGACTTTTGACTGTAATGTCAAATTGAACTTAAAATCATTAAAATCTTAGACTTTTCTTTAAATTTTCGCAATTTTGCAGTCATAATAATGTTAATTTAGAAGAAATGCATTTGTGGCCTGTATAAAATTGCTTTGGTAGCCATTAGTTTCAGACCAAAATGCCCTGAAAACGTTAAAAAACATAATAAAAGAAACCTAACTATGAAATGTTCACAGGCACACATAAAAAAGGGGGAGAATATCTATTTATAAGACAGTCTTAAAAAAAAAGAGAATTTATCTATTTATAAGCTATCCTTATGTACAACATTAGTTCAATATGTTAAAGATAAAAAGATAATTCAGGAATATTTTACATTACATCAAATAACCACTGTTCGTTATCAGAAAATACTGAGATCATTATGTACGCTCAGTGGTGTCTTACATAATGAAAACAGTACACAATGAGCATCTGGCATAACAAGTACCTTAACTCAGTATTCCCCCACCTTTTTAATCACAGTGGACCAGTCAATGTTTGACAATTTTACTGCGGTCCAGTTGAGGGGGAAGTTGATTGTTTATATTTTAGATTGTTTTGATTTATTAATTTTAAATCAATTGTATTTAAACATGCTTTCAAAATAAAATACAGTTACACCAAAAAATAAATATAAATTGATTTAACATTTTAACTTACTAGAACGTTAAATCAATGAGAACCCTAAGTTACAGTTATAATGTTACAGTTTATGATGATTTATATTTACAGTTATGATGATTGATTTTTTTATTAAAACTAACTGAAAGAGAAAACAGTTGCAGTGGTTTTCTTTTTTTTTTTACTTTTTAAAACATTAAAAAAATTTTGTCACTACCTTCGAAGCCCCTTATTTTTAAATAAATAAAATTTTAATGAAACACAAATGT